TCCAAAGACAATCCAAACAGTCCAAAAAATCCAGCAGCACAGCAGAGTGGAAGGCTTGAGCTCAGCACTGGTAGCAACAAGTCAAACGATTGGACACAAGAGACAGACTGGCTCGACAAGGAACACAGGTGGGGTTAAATACACAGAGGAAAATCACAGAACAAGATGCACCTGGGAATAATCAAGGGGAGACAGGGCAACATGGAGACTCAGAGACACAGAAACTCAAATCCTGACAAAATTATGACTAATTTTCACAGGAGTTTAGAAAGATTTAAAAAGCAATTCCAAGCAGATTTTGTTATTTTTAAATTTGCCCCTTCGTTATATTGACTTTTTGCATCATTTATATGCTCTTGTTTCGCAACTCTTGCTACCAACTCAAAATAATTGACTGAGAGCCTGAGTACCTAACCTAACAGGACGTAACAACTAACCTGATTATATAACAGGTTATTGTGGCTGCTTTACTAAGTTTTGTCTTCTCTACCAGGATACATTTTGACTTTGAGTTTCCTTCATCCAGATTAGTGTCCACTAAAACAAGCAGTGAATCTAAGCAGCAACAGCTTGTGACCACAAATGAAGAGGAAAGAAGATTTTTTTTCCCCTTCAGACCAAAGACAGAGTAGCTGAGTAAAAACATCTATGTCCTTACTATCAATACCCAATTTATTTTTTGCTGTCTCAGTAAAGAAAGATGGAAATTTCAATTACTATAATGGTTTCCTCACTGCCTGATTACAGTATAATTAGATCCTAAAATAAAGAGCATTCAGCAGTGGTTCTAGACCACTGATCCAGATTTCAGCCTCTGAAGCGAGGAAACAAAAGTCAAAAGAAGTTGATGAGACCTGGTAAAAGAGGAATGATGGCTACAAACTCAAAGCATAAAGACAACCATGTTCAAAAGGAATCTGACGGAGTTAGTACAGGGACTTTATCTTCAGTAAATAAAAATCTGTTTTTATCCTAAACAAAAGAAACAAAGGAAACAAACAAAAACTCTGGCTCCGGGGGAAGTGTTTCTGTGGGAAACATTCCAAAAAGTTGTAAAAATACTTGAGTTCAAACTGTCTGTAACAAAATAGGTAAAAGTCAAAATAGTGATAATCTTTATCCCCCAACACTAAAAAGGTTATGAGTATAGTGTCCCATTTTTGTCAAAGAAAGTAAACAGATATGAACTCTATGACACAAAATGCCTGATTTCACTACACAAAGAATCCCAACCCCCTTGCTTGTGGGAGGCAGCCCTTCCATATCTGAGGAATCAGACACAAGCGGCAGAGGCCAGTATCCTGGCAATGTGCAGGAGCTGCTAGGCTATAAACAGACTACAGAATCTATATAAGTAGGGAAATGGGCTAAGTTGTGAGGTTAAGACCAGTGTTTTGCCTTAAGGCTGCAGTTCAAGGGTTATGTGAGAATATTGTTTTTCATTTGTTTCTTATAACCTTTTTGGTTTGAGAGGATGGCGCAAACTTGGTGGCTAAGTGAGGGAGGAGATCATAGCCTGGCTTAATATACAGCCTATTACAATGTTAATGCTGCGCATTGAAAATGCAGTAAAGAGAAGCCAGCGTATTACAATTTGAGGGCTGCTGGAGCTGACAGAGCAGCCGTATGTGACGAGCTGGAAGTAAAAGCGTGCACTGAGTGACACTGCATAAAGCTTATGGCCACCTCAGGTCTGCGGGAAGAGGCCACATCATCTGTGATGATCGTCTCAGACAGGAGGAGAGGTGGCTGCTAGCAGTGCCATATCTTCATACTTCTTTGGCAGGGCAGGTAGGGAATGATTTACCCAGGATAAGGCAACCATCACTGTTTGAAAACAGCCAGAAGGTCCCATGCATGATGTATCAAAAATGCAATTTCACAAGCCAGCTATAAATACAGAGCAGCTTCTACGACAACAATAACATAATAGTAAAAAGGAAAGAGCTCCTCAGAAATAACAATAAACCACCATAAGTCAACTGGAAGTGTATAATTTACAAAGCGGCACAATCCTAAGTATAGAAACTGTGGATAATGTTTGGAGAGGGAGAGAGGAGGGAGCGCTTGCATCAGAGGAGCTCTACCGAACGGGGAGAAAAAACAAGGAAGACATCGATGAGGAGAGCAGACGTTTTCTGAGACATGTAGATTAGGGCCCTCCTTTCACACACACACACACCAAGATCATCCACACAGGACAAATGCAAAAGAAGAAATAAGGTAAAAATCAAAGTTCATTAAAAAGGTCAGTGGCAGATCTCGTCTTCATCACACCGCCAGGAATAGCATTCATGTCACATGATGTCATGGCTTTTGCTCTTCTGCTTTTTTCCTAACAGAATATTTTAGCTCTAAAGGAGTGGAGCATTACAGCGGTCAGCACTTCTGCCTCTCAGCAAGAGTGATCCAGGTTCAAATCCTGCATTTCTTTATGTAATGTGAAGGGTCCACTCTGCTCAGGTCTGCTCCCACACACAAACTGGATCTATGAGCTGACAACAGCTCCCAACATGAAACATGAAAGCAGGGTACATCCATGTTTGCCACCAACCAATAAGTATTGAAATATTCCAGCCAAAAATAAATTGAATCCTTTATTATGCAATGCATATCCTATGACAAAGAAACATTTTACCAATAATGTAGCAAGAAATTGGCTGATTATTATGGAACACAAAAATATTTTGAAAATGTCTATGGGCTGATATTGTAATAAGAAGGGTTTTTTTTTTTAGAAATAAAAGAAGTTTCACAGTTTTTATGCATTTTGCTTCTGAAAATTAGAGTTGAACTGCCTATTCATAAGCATGAGTATATGTAATAGCTACTCAGTACTCACTCTCTTTAAGTGTGGTTGTGGGAGGCAGTTTGAGAATGAGCTTTTATAAGTGTTTTATAAATGTTGTTTATGCTGCTTTTGAGTTTAGACATCCATCCATCCACCATTACCTTACATGCTCATCCCATTAAAGTTTTGAGGGTTGTTGGTGTCTATCTTCACCGGTCAATGGGTGAAAGGCGGAGTCACCCTGGACATTGGAATCCATTGGAGGGCATACTTTTACATGTGAACTCATAATATGAAAATTATTGATGTAAACAATTCATAGATTTTTTTTTACAAACGTTTTACTGACTCTAACAGCCTTTATTTGCAAGACATCACTCAGACATTTTTTCTGTCTGAGTGGTCAGACAGAGAAGATGGTAATGAAAGAGGAGAAAGTCATGCAGCTGAGGTCACCAGGCTGGGACTCGAACCTGCGACAGCCGCGTTGAGAACTCGGGTCTCCTTATGAATCTCCTCATACATTTTTAGGTATTGGAATTACTCCTATGCGAAATTAATTTAATCAAAGTATGTCATGAATATGTGTGCATGTATCCCATCATAAGCACGGCTGCACTGATTGAAGTTGTCTGGCCAATCTTTAAAAAGCCCCTACTGTTTTTGATTTTGGCAGGGTTTTTTTTTTTTTTTGTCTGAAATGCTGCTAAATATAGGAAGAAATTTGATGAACTGGTTACAGTGGGGTAGATTATTATTATTGTAAATGTACAGACCTGATCTGATGGACCGTTCTGTCAGTCAAACCTCTCACTGCAGAGCAGAAGAGGACAGAGGCTGATTTTTAAACCTTTGCTGAAGGAGATAAGTTCAGGGGATACTTCACATGTAAGTATCAGCCGTTCACCGATCTCCTAAAATTAAGGTAATCGGCGCCGATAAATAGGCCGACCAATAAATGCATCCTATATTATACATGCATACAGGGTATAATGTAAATACCATCAGAGATTCAATAAGTTCATAATAGGTGTGTGAATGAGGTAATTGTCTGACAGTTGATTGTAGCAATCCACGTTGTTAGCAGAAATAGAGGGCCCCAAAACCAAATTCTGCTTAAGGCCCCATGTAGGCTTGGGTCGGCCCTGCACATCAGCAAACATATCTAACCACTGATGCGCTGCGAATGTCACACAAAGCTCTTTTTAAAGGGATTATGTCCTTAAACATTGAATGAGGTAGCCAGATATCCAAGCACCCGGAACCTTCACTTCTTTTGTGTGTGACAAAAGTCGTTAGGTGCGCACATACAGAAAGGCACACACACTCTCACAACTACCGCATTCATCCAGTTTTATATGGTGATGGTGCCCCCGCAGTGGCCAACAAGCGCAACTTTCCTCCGCCTCCCCCTTCTGAGTCGGGAAGAAGATAGAGAGACCTCTATAGTACTCAGAAGCCTCTCCGTCCTGACGCCTCACACTGAGCCCGCTGGGAGCTAAACGTTCATCTGGACACACATCCTGCATAACAGCAAGATTGTAAAGAGATATAGTCCACACAACCCCAAATGTTACACAGATTAAACTCCAAGAAGGGTGGATAAAAATGAGTTTAGACAGAACCTGGTCAGTGACAGAAGACTCCCACTCCGCAGGTGGTAAAGGACACGCTGATTTATTCGCGTTCTGTTCGCTATAAAATCCTATTTGTGGGCGCAAACTCCCGGCAGAGCCTCTTCAGACGCCCGCTAGGATTCCTAACGCGGGTGTTTAGCGCAGCTCGCTCGGCGAGAGTGCGCGACTCTGTGCGTCTCTGTGCGTCTTTTGACTCTGTGCAGACGCACAGAGTCAAAAGTGGCTGACAGAAAGAGAAAAAGAAGACTTTTCTTTATGCTTCTCAACAAGGACCACCACAAAACCCCCGGCCCTTGTACTCCCGTCCCCCTTCACCTTTCCATCACCCACAATGAAAAAAAACAAAAAAAACAGACGTGATTTCATTTCATGTTGGAAAGCCAGGCAGTGTTCATGTGAACTTATCGCTCACCAACACATCCCGGGATGATTCTACCGTGAAAAATCAAGAACTAAACATCAGCCCACTCCATCGTAGTTGCTTGATTTCACTTGGAAATGAGCAGAGCCCCAGAGCCAAATTATTTAACGCCTCACGGAGCTTACAGAATTGAGTCTAGACGTTTATTTACCGTTAGAGAAGAATCCCATTCGTTGCGCTTTTATTTCTTCTTTCACACTATATTCCTGTTCGCGTTACGTTCCGTTAGGATAAGGTCCAGTTATCCTAAAAGCCCCATAAGGACAGAGAATCCTGACGTTCCAGCGTTTGGAAATCAAACTGGTGCACTTCCAGAGGTAAAAACTCCGCTTAGATGCGGTCCAACACCTCCAAACGCAAAGAAAAAAATGAAGGAGCCCCCTTTTAGTTCAGAACAAGTGCGCCGTAAATCCAAAATGTCTTTGGTTCTTTACTAAGAACTGTTGGAAGAAGGATTCTCCTGTGACCAGCAGGCTCCGGGCTTCTGGACGCGCATCGGTCTACATCTTAATGAAGGTGATGCTGGAGGAAAGGAAACAGGAGAGGGATTTTTCCCCCCATCGTCCGCTCCTCACGATTCAGGCTGCACTTGGCTGATAAAACGCTGTTCTCTCTCCCTCTCTCTCGCTCTCTCCCCCTCCTCCCCTCCAATTCTCCTCCAGCTCCACGGTCTCTGTCGGAGACTTTCATGGAGCAGAGACGCGCCTAGTGGCCACTCAGGGAACACCACGGCCAGGAGGTTCCCTCCGCCCCTCCCTCACCTCAACGCGCTCTTAAAGAAACATGGAATTGGGAGACATTATTTTTTTCTTCTGCCTCGTTCCGAACAGTAGTCAAAAATAATATGCAACGAAATATGCACCTGAATAAACTTTCAGTTTGCTCAAGTGGATTACACATCATTTATTGAAAAGAATAAAGCCTGACAGACACAATCTAATATAAAAAATAAGTTCTATGTAATTATTTTAAGTGGTATTTTTATACTAATTTTGATAATGTGGCAGTGGGCAGATTTATTGGTAAAACTTAATGAAACAAATTAATCTTTAAGTTTACAAACAAATTAATCTTACACACAAATTCAACCTTCATTCAAGAACATATATTCAGAGGAGCAAAAATCATCTTAAAACAGAATGAATATTCCAGCTCATGGTGGTTGCATGGAGGAGCAGCATTACGTCAATACTGCTGTGTTCTCTTTTTAAAAAAAAAAGAAAAATCAGTTGTTTTCCTTTTCATTTAAAACATTTCATGTTTGGACAATCTTTCTTTCTGGCTTTGAGAAGCGGCCAAGCAAATGAGGTGGATTAGAAAGGCCAACACATGATTCAAATTCAAGTTCAAAAGTATTTACTCAAATTAAATTAAATAGTGGTGTCATCCAGAAATATTGTCTATGCTGCCTGAAAACTGAAAACTGAGCTGTTGGCATGCAAGACAGCAAGGTGACTTTAGTCAGAGGTTTCTCATTTGTTACCACATTTACCACATGGCTGCTACTGGAGATCCCTACTGCCCAAAGCATCACTATCCACAATGAAAATAGGAACTACTGGGGGCGTGCTGTGGTGGTGCAGGGAGTTAGTACGCCCCATGTTTGGAGGCCTCAGTCCTTGAGGCCTCTCCTCGCCCTCTTTCCTGTCTGCCTACTGTCAAAAATACGTCCTCTAGTCACCGCAAAAACTCTTCAGAGAAAAAAGTGATAAAAATAAAAAAAGAAAATAGGAAAAACTGAAAACTAAGTAAAATTGTGAGTTTAGAAGTTTACAGATTGAAACGCACTACAAATCTGGAACAAATGTACAAAAAACTGCAAAACATCTTGAACACTGAGTGCCTTTGGAAACTAAAAACCCACCTGTTTAGATTCACTTTAGAAACATAATCAATGAAACATTAATCACCATTCTGATGTGCAACATTGGCACTTGACAAAATGCAATTAGTGATGTAGTTGTTGACTATGTGTTCCAAGACTTTGTTTTTATGAGTAAAGCACTTTAAAATGCCTTGTTGCTGAAAGCTGCTATACATATAAAATGATTGATTGAAATGGTTGATTGCCTTTAGGATTTTGTTGTTCATTATAATTATAGTTTTGTGTTCCTTGTTTGAATTTCCTATCATTCCAATGCTCAGAGAAAAATGCAAAATAACCAGCATCAACAAAATCTATGACCTCCATCCTTTTAATAATTACCTCATGTTTGACATTTGAATTTTTTACAGATTGACCTCAATAACTGAATTCCATACCAACACTCACCCACTGATCCACACAACAGATAACTGCATCTGTTTGTTTCTGGTCACTCTACTACACCTGCGAGTAAATTATTTGCATGGAGACATGCAAAATTGTCCATAAAAGGAAAGTTTATGTGACTGTGTAAGGCTTCTCAAGGCACTTTGAATGTTTCCCAAGATCTACAGGAATTCTTGTTGGGAATTTGAAAGAGGACTCAACCAGTGACGTCGTGCTGTCAATATCTCACCTCTCTATTATTATTATTATTATTATTATTATTATTATTATTATTATTATTATTATTATTATTATTATTATTATTATTATTATTATTATTATTATTATTATTATTGTCACTTTTAGATTTCTCTATGTGATAAACTATTTTTTAAATTTACATTTTAATTGAATTTGAATTACAATGATAAGAGAAAAATAATCTGTCCACTTGACTGTTGTCTGGTATATCCATTTATTTTGTATGATTTTAATCTTTTTATGGCCAAAATTGATTAATTTACTCATCACCTGTATAAGTATAGAAGTCCAGGTGAGGCAGTGCAGTGCCCTGTCTTACCGCAGGAGGCGCTGTGTCACAGACAAAATGAAGCAGACAGTTGGGTCATGCCTGTTGCCGTTTCTCTTTATATTGATATCATACATGCTTGATCACTCTTGTACTACACATTCTGACATTCCATAGTCTGTTTAGTATATTACATGGATTGACCATTAATATGCAATAAAAATAGGCATAGTGAAGCAGAAAGTACACTGTCTCACCAATAGGTGGCAGTTCTGAACTTGATAAGTAAAATGTGATCTAGCTGATCTTCTTCTACGCATTGAAAAGGCTGAAAAGTGAAAAATACAGTCGCAAAGTAACTATTGCAGGTTGATTCTCTCTCTCGCAGTTACTTATGTCACAGCAGCCAGACTTTTAAAAGAAAATGGAAAATGAGATAAACACATTTTTGCAACAGACTGACAAAGATATCCAGAAGGATTGGTGTATGGATTTTATATACAAATCAAAGTAAGATGCAATTTTTGAAAATCAATGATCTTCAATTTTAATAAGAAAAGAGAAATCAACCAGGAAAAATTTTATTTTAAAACATCAAAATCTGACCTTAGATATTTTTTTCTCTTTTTATTATCAGTATGGATGCTTTCATTAATTCCATACAGCATGGAATTAATTATGCCTGAATTATGATACTAAATAAGGCATTGTTAAAAGTGGTTAAAATAACTAAATGTTTCAATTATGGTCAAAACTGCAATATAAGCTGCCTCTTCCGTCAGGAACCTCACTGCAGGACAATAAATTGAACCCAATGTGAGGCGTAATTCCACCTCAAGATAAAATTAGTAAAATTCTACTAAAGTGCTTGGAGCCGAGACAGACTGAGCTCTGTAGCCAATGTCACAGTCGTCAAAAGCACAGCAGAAAAGAGAAGAGACACACAATACAAAATCACGCCTGTGCAGACACAATTGATCAATGTTCACTATTGCAATTCCAACCTCTAAATGAATGTGTGTCTGAGTGAGTAGGTTTTAGACACTAACAGGAGCTGTTTGACATAAACATCAACCAAGCTGTACCGTTTGGAAAATTCAACTCCATTCTCACCTTTCATCCCAAAGATGGTTTTCGATTAAATATTGCAGTTTTGAATCCATTTATGAAATGATTGTCACAATTTGCACAAAAGAAGGATAGACTCGCCTGGTATAGAGAAATGTTTTTAATCAAAGTATGTGTGTGTAGGGCTGCACCGATGGCAGTTTGCTGGCTGATCCTTAAAAAGCCTGACCAGCCTATTTTGATTTTGGCTGATATGATTTTTTTATTGATTGTCATTAAATGTTAAATTATTGTATTAATAAACATTTATTTTTGATACTTGGGTAGTGTTAAGAATTAAAAAGAGGAATAACTTGATTTAGCTCGTTAATTCATTCCTCCTTGTCCTAGATTCTTGTGTCTGTATAAATGTGCAGGGAGAAAGAGCAATCATACGACGTCAGACTTCAGATATCCAGAGTTTTATCCAGAGAAAATCAATGCAAGAAAAATGTTACAATGAGCATCTCACCTAGATCATCAAAAGTCCAAGACATGACAAAACAGAAACAATTAACTGAGTAAAAAGGAGGGAAACAGAAACAAAAGATGCATCTTCTGGGAAACTCTCACTCAGCACAAAGAGATTCAAACTTCTGCTCTAAAACAAATCATTTTATAATAATGTGTATTCCCTTCATTTAAATATATGCATTAGGAGGTGTGTTTTTCCTTTGTGTGGGCTGTCTTAAATGTTAATTTTATTACCTCTGAGACCCACTGAAACACCCAGCTCTTCTCGTACTAGCCTCCTTCTTAGGCAATCTGATTTATGGCGTGGGTCTGGAACGTTATCGCTGCCTCAAAATGCTTCAACAAGAAACCAGTTGGTGTTTTTTAACCAAGCTTGCACAAAATGTAATGCTAAATAATGACTATAAGTTTGGATCTAAGAAGTAACTAATTCAAAACATGCTTAAAGAAATATATTTAATTCTAATATAGATAAAATTATTTATAAGATCCTAGTGAACTTTTGAACCATGATAAGGAATTTGTTAATTGCCTGGCAGACAGACTCCCTGTCTAAAGAGATTCTAGGCCTGTTTTCTGTCGAATCCTCCCTAAGAATTTATATAAGTTCAGAGAGTCAGCAGTTGTTTTAGTTTGGATCTTTATCTAAATTTATATGAACGTAGAGTGTACTTTAACTTTCTATGGTATATTTCATATGTATCAAAACTATCCTGTGCAGTATTGTGCTAATTTAAAATGTTATTTCAACAGTAGTAAAAAAAAAGTTTACCAACAAACTTTTTTGGGAGTGGATGTCAGCATGCTTCAAAAGCCCTAAAAAACAACAAACTTTCTACATTTGTAGGAAGATCTGCTGAAAAGGCTGCAACTGAACCAGGCAGCATACCTAGGTGAGCCCTATGTGGGATAAATGTGGGCAACAAATGGGTCCCACAAGGGTATATCTGTAGTTTCCAGTGGTGGTTTGATATGGGCAACATGGGTAACTGGTGGCCCTATGAGGGTTTACCTAGATAGAAAATCTATGTGTTTGTAAATTTTCACACTGTAAACAATGTGAAAATCACTATCACCCTCCAAAAAGGTCAAATTAAATAAAAAAAAAATACATGCAAATAGACCAAAACACATTCCACAGTCAAGATGAACTGCTAGAGAGAAATGAGGCCTTGGCTGCTGGGACAATCACAAATCCCTGTAATCCCT